CACTGTACACACACCCACACACTTCAGTTGTGTAACGAAACGTAACGGTCGCCGCCTGCAGTAAGCACTCAGCGTGTGACCACACGACCAATCACAAGCCAAGCAGCACCATCACAACCAGTGTGAAGTACGCACGCATCGGATTCGACACACAAGCAGCCCGCATGCACCGTTTTAATGATTTTGCCACCGACCTGCTACGCTCGACAGGGCGATTCATATCTACATGGACCAAACATCAAATTTTCAACAGTTACTTTTAAAACTTGGAAAATCTGTCGAAAAAAGGTGCCGGAACTCTGCTCCAGTGCATTCTATGACAAAAAAAGCACTGGTTCTTGTAAGTGGGACAATCTTCATATAGGACAGGATACCATAATTTTAAATAAATTAGAGACACCGTGCCCAAGGGCTGCATTCTCTTTTGTGGAAGCTCCACATCAAAGACAAAAAAGACACAGCCGAGTATACTAACAGTTTGCTCTGACGTCTCATTTTCCCTTCCTCCTCCTGCCCCAGGTATCCTTAATAGACAGCTTTGAGCCCAATGGAAAACTCACACCAAGCACCGGATTTTCCAGGGCGGACTGTCCCGAAGGCAGCCCTGTGGACCAGGAGGGGTATTATCTCTGCGATGAGGAAGCCTTCCTAAAAGAATCCAGCGCTTCGACCGGCTATTTCCCCTGCTATCGAACATACGTGGAGTTCCCCCGCTACCAGCCCCGCAGTGCCGAGGAGGAACCCCAGGGCGACGGGAGCGGCTGTGACACCAGCGTCCAGTGCGACGGGTGCTTGCAGGATGAGGCCCGCAGTGGGGAGAAACGAGGCGCGGAAGCCAACAACAACATGAAAGAGGTTAAGTGTGTGGCAGCCCCCCACGAGGCTTCCCGAGGGGCACCCCACAACAGCGCCCGGCCCGACTCTGGTGGGAGGAAATTGGGCGGGCCGGGGGGCAGGCGCGTGAGGCCGCACGGAGATGGTGTGCCGGAGGCCGGCAGCCACCGGAAGGAGCAAGGTGTGCCGAAGCCCTGTGCACCTGGGGGCCCGCCCTGCAGGTCCAGCCCCAGGATCAGCCCTGCCAAAGAGGGGCCGGGGCCACCGAGCAGCTCGGCGCCGCTGCCCACGGCCGGCATGGCCAGGAAGTCCCCGCAGAAGAGAAAGCACAGAGCCTGCCAAGCGGACGAGAAGGAGCAGGCCACGATCAGCGAGCTGAAGCCCCTCCTGCAGGACCAGCGTTCGCTGCCCCCGAGCCCCGAGGAGAAGGTGGGGGCACTGAGCATCTGCTGCTACGGCATGGATGCGGCGGGAGAGAGCAGTCAGGTATGTGGGGGCCGTGACACCGTGGGGAAGTACCTGCTTTGCACGCTCGAGATCCCAAGCTTTTCCTCCGCTTTGAAGGATCCGGTGAGTGCGTGGCGGGAAAGAGCTCTGTCAGGTGATGTGGCGGCAAAGCTTGGAAGGACGGGGCCTGCTCGTCGTGGCCCCCAAAGTCACACGCACAGGTGGTTGTGTTGCTCCCCATCAACAGCTTTCCTGTCTGCCAGCAGTGCTGCAAAAATGGCCTGCCTGCTCAAGACCGGGACACCCCTCACAATACTTTGTGTGACAACAGAGGGTACTCTTTGACAGCTGGGAAAATCTCTTGCAGGTTAGCCCAGAGGAAACAAAGAAATTGGAGCAGGGAAGCGTTTTTCCCTGCTCCGTTTTAATTCTTCTTGTAAGCCATCCTCCTTGTTGTAAGCTGTCCTGAGATGCTTGTAGTAGACGGTCTATAAAAGCTTTTAATAAATAATAATACATTTTCCAGCATAATTGGGAATTCTGGCAATCACACTGGGACCTTATCCTTGCAATGCAAATGTGTTGCCAATGTCCTGCAGCTCCTCCAAATATCTTGCACTTAGGGATAGACTGCCCTTGAACATGGAGGTTCTGCTTAGCTTATGTGACCATTGAGAGATTTTGTTGTGTGTAAGACTAGAGAAATCCATGGAGATCTGGATGGGACAGAAAGCCCATGTTGCTCAATTTCAGGAGGGGGCGGATTTTATTTTATCTGCTAATCCAACAGAGTGTGATAGAATCTTAAAGGCTACCCTATTTATTATGGAAAGGAAGAATCTAAGCCAGGAGTGAACTAAGATGGGACTAAACTCCTCTCAGCCCTGGTTGTGCTAGCTGGGGCTGATGGGAAATGAAATCAGTTTCAATTCAGAGAAATTGAAATCAGTTTCAATTCAATTCAGATCAGTTCCACTCCTCAGAGTGGAAGGGTACACATTTCTCAACCTTAATGGGAATGTACTTTGCAGTGATAAAACTACCTGTGTTATTACTCAGGAATCTATTTCATTGTGTCCTACAGGTCCTGTTCCCTAGTAAATGTGTTTAGGATTAGAGCTTAAGCTTTAAAGCGCTACAGGATTCTTTATTTTAACCTTTAAGGTCCAATTATAATAAATTATACAGCTATTACTTCTGTAGCACCCGAACCTGGCTCCCCAGCGCTCAAGAGTAAAAGGGACTAGAAACTTGGGCCATGAAAGTAAGTGTGTGTGTGATCCCAGACTTGTTTCATGCCATTTCCCCACAATCCCTCCAGGGTCAAAGCAGGTGTGGAAGTGGCTTTTGGGCTTTCTTGCAGGTCATGCCAGCGAAGGAGCGAGGGAAAGAACCAACTCAGCGGGCGTCCTCTACTCAGAGCTGCCGTGTGGTCCCAGAGACGCCCAGCCCCGCTTCCGAGCCCCGCACCACCTCTTCCCGGCTTAGCTTTCATTCCATCGTGTCCTGGGTTTGGAGGATCTTCCGGAGGCCGCCGCGGCCCAGCACCAGCACCAGCACCAGCACCGGGACAGAAACAGGCAGGAGGCTGCTGACCAGCCGGCTCAGACTGTGGATTACACAGCATAGCAGCCGCATCACCCCGGAGCCTCCGTGAGGCCGGCCACCCGCCTCCGTGGGGAGCCAAGAGATGGGCCCTCGGTGAGCGGGGGAGGGACGGGGCGTATTTTTCAGAAATTATTTCCATTAAAACTCCTGCTTCCCTCTTTTGTGCAAAGAGAAAAAGAACACGGGTGCTTTCTGTGTTGCTGCAGAGATGCCAAGCAATACCAGAAAGCTGGCCTGGCCATGTGATCAGTTTCCCGTGGGGCCAAACAAGCCAGAGGACGTGAGTGGTGAGCCCCGCCCTGGCCAAGAAGCCCCACCAAGCGTGTGGTTACAACAGAGTGTCCTCTGTTGTAGGTCCCGGATCCATGCGGGGTTTCAATGGCTCATTCAGGTTTCCCAAAGAAGGCCTCTCAGCTTCTCCTCTCCAAAATACAAAAACCTTGCAGTTGCTAGTTCGGTAATAATCACAGGCAGACTCAGATCCAAAGTTTATGGGGCCCTGTGAGCAAATGACCTTCTTGGTATTGGATCCCCAACTTCCGTCAGCTCCAGGAAGCATGTGCCATGGTGTAGGACACCTGCACTGTACGCCCCAGGAACAGGGCTTCCAGTCCTGGGTCAGAGGGATCCATTAAGAAAAGATGCCCAAACCTTTGCTCAGACCAGGCAACACGCAGGCGTGTTCTTCAGGTAAAGTTTTCAAATGCATGTGCTTCTAAAAGCTGTGGCCAGCTAAAAATCTCAGAGAAGCATTCTCCCTTTTCCTGCCCCGGAGGAGGGGAACCTTCAAGGACTGGTTTAACCTTAGGAAAAAGGTGAGTGAGGGAAAGGCACGGCAGAAGGTAGAGACATTAATCCTGGTGTGAAGAAAATGGGGTCCTTTTCCGCTCTCCATCACTTATAATACTGGAACTCAAAGGGGCATCCCGTGAATCTTGGACACCTCTGGAAGGGAATCAGACACATGCTATTCCTGGTCACTAGCCCTGCCTCCAGGATCAGTTGCTGGGGAACATGGGCTTGGGGGCTGCTGTTGCACTCACTTGCAGGCTTCCCATGGGCAGCTGGCTGGCCTCCCGTGACCCAAACGCTGGGCTGGACAGTCCCTCGGGCTCATCCAGTGTAGCTGCTCCTATTTATTATTCAAATATTTATTCGTCGTATTTACATCCCACCTTCTTGTCCCCTTGCAAGGAGGCTTATACTATCCTGCTCCTTTATCCTCACAACAACCCTGTGAGGTAGGACAGGCTGACGGGAAGGGGCCCATAGACCCTCTGTGAGGTTAGGTTCTTAGGAAGGGTGGGCTTCAAGCAACACATAAATGGAGGGGGCACGGGATGTTACAGCCAAAGACGACTGACTGAAGCACAGCGGAAAAGTCAGTGCAATCAGTGCGTGCTTTCCGGAGCGCTGGAGGCAGAAGACCGAAGGCCTAGCCTCGTGCATCTTCCCGCAAAGTGGCCGAGAGTGGCGAAAAGGAAATCCCATCCAAAACCACAAAGTGCTTTGGCCAAATGAAGTGAACCATTAACAGTCCGGCGGGATGAACAGCCTGTCCCTACTGCAGCATCTTCCCAGTTCAGCTCGGGGATAATAGGACCACGAGGAAAGAGAATTAGAAAGGAGGGCTGGCTGGAGGGCGGGGGGGGGGGTGGCAGGCATGACAAAGACGTGCTTTTTTGAAACAATGGCGTGGCGAGGTGCAGAAGCAGATCCAGGCAGGCGAGGGCTGCCAGAAGGGCAGGCAGTGTGCTTGAGAAGAAAATGTTGTTACATGCAGGGAAGGCAGTAAACGGAACCCCTAGCTGTGAAAAGGGAGGCCAAAATACAGACAGGAGTGAGAAGTATATCCTACCAACACCTGCCACGCAGCTCTTCGGGGCGTGAGCGCAGCGATGGGGACAGATTTCACCACAAAGCCCCCTCCGGCATCACTGCCATGGTGCCGCACTGCTTGGGGTCTGGAGGGCGGCAGGAAGCCCAAAAGCGGGCGGTGGGGGGGACCCCTGCTCAGTGCAGGAAAGAGTCTGGGCTCAAGCGACTCAAGGCGGAATGGCACATTTCCCTGGCCTAGGACCGCATGGATCAAGACACTCTCACCCCGTCTCTCCCAACTTTTTGGCATGGATTTATTCCTTTCTGCATGTCCCCCATCCCAAAGTCCGCTGGGTTACAGCCACCGCAGCGGCTCCGAGACGTTCAACGCGCCAGGTCTCCCTTCTGGCCCGTCCAGAGTTCCCGCAGCTCCACCTTGCACCCGAGGTCCCGCAAGGCGGCCTTGGCGACATCGTCACAGTCCCGGTGCGCGACCCGCGCCTCGGTGATGAGGTCCTCAGCTCCCATCTCCAGGATGGGCTGGGAGAAGTCCTGGGTGTGGGCGACGAGGTTGCGGATCAGCATGCAGGCTTGTTTCTGGGTGGAGAGAGCGCGGGAGAAAGAGCTGTTGCATGTTTCCTCACCTGCTGCTCAAGCAAACGAGCCCCCTAGCAGCTTACAAGCCCTCATGAAACCATTTCCCCCCCGGAAATCTGAAAGAGCCGGGCACACAAGGAAAGGGGGATGGGGTGAGGGGAAATGAGGCATTCCAGCGAGGTTCTACTGCTGTCCATTGGAATGGCTTCTGGTGAGCAGCTCTAATTCGGGGCTGACAAAGCGTAGGAGTCAGGTGCGTTTCGCTGAAACAAGCTCCTTGAGCCGGCCCGCGTTTTTAGAGCGATGCATGTGGGGCGCGAGACTATCAGGCCCCCGAGGGGAGCCTAGGCTGCCCCCACAGCTCCAGCTGTGCAGTAGCAGGGAACAGAGGGCCCGCCCTGCTTTAGAGGCAGGAGCTGGGATTATTCTGGGAAGGGGTGCAGGGGGAGCGACGGTCCTTCCTCTCCAGGGGGGAGTCCACGGTACCTGCACGGCGACCTCCCGGGGGTGCGTCTTCATGGCCTGCAGAGCCGCCAGGGCCCCGCCGCCTTCCATGATGACGTGGCAGTTTTCCGGCTTGCGCAACGCCAGCATGCACAGGGCTGAGCAGCCCTGCTCGCACACCTGCAGTGAGAAAGCAGAGGAGGGCCGGGCGTGTGTGGCGGGTGGAATTCAGCCTGGGTGGCGAAGCCCCCGACTCGGGCAAATCTGCTGGCTCACCGATTCTGGAAACACCGAAGGGGGCACCTGCCCCACTGGGCATGCTGGCCAAGCGCTCTCCCCCTCAGCCGCCTTACCTGCGGGCTCCCAAGGTGGCGGCTCATAGCCAGCACGATGAGGTCGGTCCCTCCGGCATTCACCACGGCATCTTTAACGTCGTCGTTGCCTGCGATGGCCCGGATGGTGCTCAGCGCCTGCTTCACCAGCTCCTACAAGCCGCAGAAAGAGGTTTCAGAGAGAGAACCCTCAAGCAGGCATGGGATGCGGGAACACACGCTACAGCAGGGGCCGGCAAGCTTCTTCCACAGACTGGGGGGACAGGGCCCATCAGCCCCAGCTGGCAGAATGACCCATCAGCATGGTTGTCCAAAGCAGCCTTCCCCAACCTTGTCCCTTCAAGATACGTTTGTTCCGCGACACCCAGAATACCCAGCCAATGGCCCTGCCAACAGGGAATTCTGAAGTTGTGCCCCAAATGCCTCTGAAGGCCACCAGGTTGGGAAGGCTGGTTCAAAGCATCTGGCCTTTCCTTGCACTATAGCTGTTATGCACAACCCAGGGACCCCTTCATGGATTGCTGCCTTGCTGTGGCGAAGGGGCTTGTGTAGCGCAATGAAGCTATGAGCTATGCCGTGCAGGGGCACCCAAGGCGGACAGGTCATAGCAGAGAGCTCTGACAAAACGTGATCCACTGGAGAAGGAAATGGCAACCCGCTCCAGTCCCCTTGCCATGAAAACCCCACTGACAGTACCAAAAGGCAAAGAGATATGACGCTGGAAGATGAGCCCCTCAGGTCAGAAGGTGTCCAATGTGCTACTGGGGACGAGCAGAGGGCTAGTACTAGTAGCGCCAGGAAGAGTGAAGCGACTGGGTCAGAGCCGAGAGGACACTCAGCTCTGGATGTGTCTGGTGGTGAACGGAGAGTCCGATGCTGTAAAGATCTATACTCCACAGGAACCTGGAATGGAAGATCCATGAATCAAGGCAAGCTGGACATGGTCAAACAAGAGATGACAAGATGGAACATCGACATCTTGGGAATCAGTGAACTAAAATGGACAGGAATGGGTGAATTTAATTCAGATGACCATCAGGTATCCTACTGCGGGCAAGAATCCCTCAGAAGAAATGGAGTAGCCTTCATAGTCAAGAAAAGAGTAGGAAAAGCAGTACTGGGATACAATCTCCAAAATGACAGAATGATCTCAGTTCAAATCCAAGGCAAACCATTCAACATCACCATAGTCCAAGTCTATGCCCCAACCACTGGTGCTGAAGAGGCTGAAGTTGACCAGTTCTATGAAGGCCTACAATGTCTTCTAGAATTAACTCCAAAAATGGTGCCCGTATCATCATGGGAGATTGCAATGCTAAAGTAGAACTTGGAAAACTCAGCAGTGGCCACAGGATTGGAAAAGGTCCGTTTACATTCCAATCCCAAAGAAGGGCCATGCCAAAGAATGTTCGAACTACCGCACCATTGCACTCATTCCACATGCTAGCAAAGTTATGCTCAGAATCCTACAAGCTGGGTTCCAGCAGTGTGTGGACTGAGAACTACCAGAAGTACAGGCAGGGTTTCGAAGAGGCAGAGGGACTAGAGATCAAATTGCCAACATATGCTGGATCATGGAGAAAGCTAGGGAGCTCCAGAAAAACACCTGCTTCATTGACTATGCTAAAGCCTTTGATTGAGTGGATCACAACAAAATTGTGGCAAGTTCTTAAACAGATGGGAGTACCAGACCATCTTATGTGTCTCTTGAGAAACGTTGAGATATGTGGGTCAAGAAGCAACAGTGAGAACTGGACACGGAACCACTGATTGGTTCAAAATTGAGAAAGGAGTTCGGCAAGGCTGTATACTGTCGCCCTGCCTATTTAACTTTTATGCAGAGCACATCATGTGAAAGGCAGGGCTAGATGAATCACAAGCTGGAATTAAGATTGCTGGGAGAAATATCAACAATCTCAGATATGCAAATGATACCACTCTAAAGGCAGAAAGTGAAGAGGAACTAAAGAGCCTCTTGATGTGGGTGAAGGAGGAGAGTGCAAAAGTTGGCTTGAAACTCAATATTAAGAAAACTAAAATCATGGCATCCGGTCCTCTCACTTCCTGGCAAATAGATGGGGAAGAAATGGAGGTAGTGACAGATTTTATTTT